TATGCGGAATGAGACACAGCCATGAGCTTGCATGCGCGCGCAGCTGGGCTTGAGCTTGACTCTCAACAGATGATGTCTTAATGAGACTGTGGTTTTTGGTTTTTGGCTGCTCCTTGTTCGGAGAAATTACAGTTTTCGTTGTGCGAAAGGGTTAAGTTAGAGTCATAGTTAGCGCATTAACAGTATACGATATTAGTGATGAGTTAGATAGCTACAGTATGTCCTGCCTCAACAGCTTCTCAACAAACGTAATGTTAGTTAAGTTACAGGTAACATCAACCTCGTTAGCTACCAGAACGGCTAGACGTCAAAGTTAGGACAGAGTGATGTAACATTGACACCCACCCATTTCTCATTTGTCCCTATATTATCTGCTAACTGTTACTTAGATAATGCCTGTTAGTTGTGGGCCAATAATAGCTAACATACACTTATATTGTGTCAGTGTTTCTAGCTGTTTATTACCATTGTCACTGTCATGGATGTATTAGCTCACTCATTGCTAGTTCAGATAAATAACCTTGGACTAAAGCTGCTACTAAAAGAAAGGCCATTCCAGTCAAACTGGGATAATGTAATGGACATGCGACCTAGCTAGCAGTATTGTTTTTTCTGAAGTAGTTAGCTAGCTTCAAGTTCTAAACATTTGGTCCTCGTACTGTAAATGCTATGCAATATGAGTCAAATATACTGTAGGGCGCTATGTAACCCTAACATCTTAAGGGGAATGAAACAATATAGATTTTTATTCACGTAAATGTAGGAGCATCTATTTTGTGCTTTAGTGGTGTGGTGTGTTTTAGCTGTACCTAGCATGTAGAGCTGTAATAAAGTTATTTTCATCGTTGTGCCTTAATCTGAAAATAGTGAGAAACTAAAGCCCATGATATGCAATTTACAATTCCTAACACTGGAGAAACTGGGTCTGATCATTTGTGGAGGTTTTTGCTTGAAAGATAACTGATATTATAAATGATTAACATTTTTGCTGATTAATTTTAAGGCTAATCCTTCAGTCCACATGACAAATTGTTTGAGTTGTTGTTGTTCAATACAGCTGACTCTAAAAGAGATTTTTATCGAATACCATTGGCTCTATGATATTATGTGGTTTCAGTGTGCCATGTTTGTCTATATTCTAGGCGCCACCACTAACAGCAGCCACAGTGCCTCTTTTATGTCAACATGGGTAAGTGTTGTGGTTTTGGCTCTTCAACCGCTGCCCTCAATCACTTCCCCTGACTCATGTGGTGAGTGTACTGTCTGCAAGCATGCCAGGCTGTGTCACTGTCCTTTTTGTCTCTGACCTAAAGGCATTAAACTTGACTGATACAAATATTTTCCCAATGCTGTCCTACGTGACCCTTGAATGAATGGATTTAATAGTTCATTAGAGTGACCACAAAATCGGTAATGCATATTAGGGTCTGGTTTAAAAAATAAATACACATAGAGTGTAAGAGGAAGAGTAGTCAATTTTAACCCTTAAACAAGTAGAAGTAAAGCAGTTGACATAGAAAGTTACTGCTCCAACCCAAATGAACAGAGAAGAAAGAAAGCAGAGGAGTCAAAACAAAACTAAATCAGAGTAAGACAAATAGATGGATACAAGAAAGGAAGAACACAATAGAAATGAATAAATAAATGAATGATTTTCTGCATCATTCATGTCCCATTTAAAATGCATGGTTTATATTAAACGTCTCACTTCTTTCCAACTTGAGTTCTTGCCTGCTTTATCGAGTCCTGTGGCTTCCTTGATGCTTCGAAGTACATTCTGCTTGATGTGAAATGTATCCTTCCTGCATGGATGCCTCATCAGAATAGCCATTTATGTCAATAAAGCTCACTGATAACTGGCTAACATTGTTCATAATGATACGCTATAAAACCAATCTTGAATATTAGATCCAATAGTAGGGCCTAAGTTTCGCATCGTATAAAGTTGTCGAGCTGCTCGCATGTGCCCCTGTACGTTGCTGGCTGTCGTCGTTCGCAATAATAATAGTAACTTTGTTATATATCATTAAAATCGTCACATCGGAATGCCATAAAATAAGTTATTAAACTTGAGTAACTAGGAATTGGTATTTTTTCTTTGTCTTTTTGTTTTGCTGTGGGATACACTTTCTGGTTTGTTTCTCTGAGGTATCTCTTCGATCATTCACATCTCTTGACTGCATAGTCGCTCTCTTTTATTCTCTCAAATCTCTCACGTTTTTTTCTGAGTCTTTTTTATCACAGAAACCAAGGGGTCAAATTGAAGAAGTCAACCACACCATCCTGAATATGACTGAAAGCCGAAGGGTTGTTCGGATGGGGTATCTATGCCTCTGTTATGAAAATCTACCTACATATCAGGCCAAGAACTCTACATTCTCCACATCAAGCAAAAATGCTTGCGATCTATTGTTGATTTGGTAAACGTGTGTTTTGAGTTGGTGGATCCTTACACGCTTGTTATTTCTTATCAGGTAAAAATTACAAAAGAACCCAAAATCCAAACTAGTTGCAATGTTATTTGGTGTTCTATAACAAATTGAGAGAGGGCTCTCTTTTTTATTCTTATAATTTGGTAGAAGGTTGCATCTTAAGTCGATCGTATATATATTATAGCTTCACAAGTTTAATGGAAATCTTTGTCAGGCCTCCTTATATACAGCTAGCTAGGTATCTCACACTATCACAGTTAAACATTGATTTCGAAGAGATTTAAGCTAAGACGGGGTGAAGAGACTCTGCCAGTACAAGTACGTATACGTAAAAGGCTTCCAAACGGGAGAGGGCGCGGAGGACGCTGGGTCAACCCCAAGAGTTTTTCACGTTTTCCTTCACTTGGGACCCCTTTAGGAAGGTACTGACTCTGCAGACGGGTTTTCGGTGAGTCCTCTTATCCATGCACAAATGTGCCTTGTCAAAAGGTCGGCTCAGGATCCTCACGCGACATTTTTTCTGGGCTCTAACACAATCACATGAGGACAAAAGTGTTCACTGTTGCTGCTTGTAAATAGTATCCAACAACATGAAAGTGAGCAGTGATGAACGCAGGATAATCAGTGGTTAGTGCACTTCACGTCAGTGATCATAATGTTATGACTGATCGTGTATATCATGTGTTGTTGAGATGAGCATATGAGAAACTGCGTCTCGAATATTGTGGAGGTTTTTGCGTTGAAGATACTGATCATCTATAAAATGATCTAACCACTTTTTGCTGCTTAATTTAAGGCTAATCCTTCAGCCACATGACAACATTCGGTTTCGAGTTGTGTATGTTCAATACAGCTGACCTCTAAAAGAGATTTCATCGGAATACCATGGCTCTATGAATTATGTCGGTTTCCATGTGCACTGTTTTGTCTACTATTCTAGGCGCACCACTAAACAGCAAGCCACAGTGGCCTCTTCGTAGTTCAACCATGGTAAGTGTTGTGGTTTTGGCTACTTCAACCGCTGCCCTCCAATCACTCCTCCCTGACTATCGTGGTGAGTGTATGTCGTGCAAGCCATGCCAGGCTGTGTCCACTTCCTTTTGTCTCTGACCAAGCATTAAACTTGACTATACAAATATTTTCCAATGCTGGTCCTACCTGACCTTTCGAATGAATGCGATTTAATCAGTTCATTAGACTGACCACAAGAATCGGGTACATGCCATATCTAGCGTTCTGGTTCTAAAAACATACAATTACACCATAGAGTGTCAAGAGGAAGCAGTCAGTCACATCTCTAACCTTAAACAAGTCAGACATAACAGCAGTTGACATAGAAACTTACTGTCCCACACCCAAATGAACAGAGAAGAAAGAAAGCAGAGAGTCAAAAAAAACTAAATCAGAGAGCAAATACGATGGATACACGAAAGGCAAGAACCAATAGAAATGAATAAAT